ATGACAACCAGGAGCACGCTGAGTTTTCGAGTGGTTATCATGATGTCCCCAAGAACATCGAAGGCTCTCATGCAGTGGGAACCAATCTCCTTCTGCAGGATCAGGATCATTACAGGAAGATCCAACTCAAAAGGAGGGAAAGTCACAATCATACAATGCTACGCACCTACGCTACAAATGATGCAGATGAAGAGAAGAAGGAGGAATTCAATAGACAACTGCAATCAGCACAGGACGAAACCCCACCCTCAGTTGGTGACATCAAAATTCTAATGGGTGGGGTGACATGAATGCGAAACAGGGAGGAGACAAGACAGGAAGAGAAGTGATCATGGGTCGAGGATGAACAACGAAAAGAGGAACTGGAAACAACGTATAAAACGCTGCACTTGTCAAAGAAGTGAAGAAGAGTGCACGAAAAGACATAGACACTCCTACGACACATTGGCAAGTGAAACAGAACAGGCTGTAGGTAGGAGAGACAGAGAGAGAGACCTGACAACACTATATCAAATAACCAGGTTACTATCTCGGAGGGAAGAGATCAACACAGACGAAACCAGTGAAAGATAGTGAAGGGAGTGAAGTTACCAAAGAGGAGAAACAAAAGAAACGATGGGCTGAACACTTCAACAAACTCTTGAATCGACCACAACCATCACCTGCAACTCGTTCAAAAATACCACCTGCAACCGAGTCACGGAACTATCAGTGAACACGAGCCCTCCTACAAAAGAAGAAATGAAGCCCTGAACGCCATGAAGTAGCTGAAATCCGGGAAAGCAGCAAGACCAGATGGAATTTCACCAGAAGAACTGAAAACAGACACAGAGACAACAACGGACATGCTCACACCACATCACTACTGCAGAAGGTTTGGAAGGAAGGGAAGGTACCTGCAGATTAGAAGAAGGGCTACCTTGTCAAACTCCCAAAGAAGGGAGGCCTAAGTCTTTGCAAGAACTGGTGAGGAATCATGCTGCTATGCACCCAAATCAAGCGACATATTGTGGCGCATCATCCTGGAGAGACAAAAAGATGCACCGGATTCAAAATTACCTCTGGAACAGGCTGGGTGGCTGGCTTCAGGAGGAACAAATCATATGGGGATCAAATTGCAGTTCTACAATAAGCAACATTACAGAGCAGAGTATAGAATGGCAGTCAACTCTCTACCTCAACATCATCGATTTTGAAAAGGCCGTCGACAGCGTTGGGTGAAAAGTCATTTGGCAGGCAGCTGTTTCAACACTACGGTTTTAGTGCCACAACCTTTATCAACCTCATTTGAAAGCAGCTATATACTGTATGATGCCACATTCCAAGTGATTCACAATGGAAAGCTGAGTGACGCCTTTGAAGTGAAGACAGGGGACAGGAGTAAGACAAGGCTGCCGCCCACTATCACCACCGATGATGTTCCTGATTGTGGTCGAGTGAAGTGGACTGAACTGTATCATGCAAGAGACTGTGAGGAGTTGTGAGAATATGTGCATACGCTGGCTGAGCCGATAAAGGGACCCTAGGAGAAGATTTGGATTTCGCCAAGAATTATTTATGTCTAATGTCCCAAACTGGAAGACTTACAGGCGAAATTGACAAGTTGACAGAAGAGGTGAGGCAGCGAGGACGGGACTTCAGATGAACGTGGAGAAGACAGAGGTGATGAAGATACCCAGCTAACAACAACAAATACCAGTCGGAATGAACGGAAGAAATCTAAAGGAAGTTGTCTCTTTCACCTACCTACCTACCTACCTACCTACCTACCTACCTACCTACCTACCTACCTACCTACCTACCTACCTACCTACCTACCTACCTACCTACCTACCTACCTACCTACCTACCTACCTACCTACCTACCTACCTACCTACCTACCTACCTACCTACCTACCTACCTACCTACCTATGCATCATCGTTTCAACTGCAGGCGGTGGCACAGATGAGGATGTCAAAGGCAGGGTCGGGAAGCAAGATAGGCCTTCATTAACCTGAAACGAGTGTGGAGGTGTACTGCACTGCACTGAGCATGTGAAACAAGTTCTGGATTTTCAACACTAACGTCAAGTCAGTGCTTCTATGTGTTGGTTGATAGACTTGGCGCGTTGCGAAAAACATTTCCAACAAACTGCAGACATACTACAATAGCTGCCGCCTACGCTGACGCTCGATGCTGCATATCAGATGGCCAGAAAGAATAAATAACAAGGAACTCTGACTGGCTGGCAACGAATGAATGAAGAACCGATTGGCCAAGAAATATGCAGAAGAAGAAAGTGGAGATGGATTGGATCTACAATGAGAAGACGGTTTCGAGACATCACGCGCCACCCCAGGTCCTGAAGTGGAATCCAAGTGGAAACGACGAGTTGGGCGTGAGAGGGTGACATGGAGGAGATCTTGTGAGGAAGAAATGAAAGCTTGTGGGCATTGGTGGCGCCAGGTTGAAAAGACTGTAGAGAACAGAGTGCAATGATGACGTGCTACTGAACCTGAATGTTCCACTACGAACCGAAGGGACAAATAATAATGATAACAGTGCTTTGCTAGACTATGCTTTCAAGGAATATTCAAATAATTAAACAGAAGCTTTTACCTCTATGCTGCTAATTATGTCCTCTTGGTTGATATTCAACGTTCAGATAACAAAACAACAACATTATTGAGCTCTTATAAAAACCTTTATTCATGATTTAAACAAAATTTGATCTTCACATTGTTTTCTTCGGCCAACGGAATGCCATCAGATCAGTCCTATCAGTACGTTTAATAAAGCATTAAAGTTTCTCCTCGTCTTTCATTCAATTAGTGGTTTGCTTGAGGATCAGTTTCCCGAAGTCCTCATGAAAGGTTGTGACCGGAGGTGCAAATCAAGTTTGATGTGAGGTCGGTTGCTCAACGACGTTTATTGCGTTATTAAACAATATGATATGTATTATCATTTTGACTATCTGAGAAAGGATGACTGGGTTCTTGGCCCGCGGCCACTAGTTCGAATCCCGCCGCTGTCCAGATTTTCATTTCACCGTCAGTCATCACCCAGTATCAATATGTTATATAACCAGAGAGCTTGAGGAGTAATCTATTGAAAATAATATTCTTCGTTTATTAAAACTGTTTTCGAATACTCATAGGGGTGTGAAAATCCAGATGAATGTTTTTGCTTGTGGCTGACTAAACCTCTCTGTATTGTAAAAAGTCTGACGAAATATACTACTGAATGACTTGAGTAGTTAGAAATCACTCAGGCTGATTTGTAGATTTCGCCAGTCAGCCAAATCAGAGTGATCTAAACACCGGATAGCTGTTTCACTCATTTCTTGCCGAGTCAGCTCATCGTCGGTGTACCAGAATAAACTCAGCTCACACAGCCGAAATAGTTCAGATCACCTGACTTGCATGAACTGATGTATATACACTAGGATGATCAGTCTGCAAATGATATCCAAATTACACGGTTCATGTTGACATTTCTCACAGCTGAGTAGTTTGTCAACTACCACTCAAATCTGGTGGTGTCAACAGGATTCACTTTGGAGACCACTCGTCAAGCAAGATTACAAGGTGTGATCTCTGACACAGAGTGTCATGAACTGGCGAAGGATACCACTACTAAAAAACGTAAGTAGTCAGAGACCACTCAGGCTGATTTATAGATTTCACCAACCAGATCAGAGTGATACAAGCACCAGACGGCCAATTAACTCGTTCGAGGCAGTGCTGATTAGCAATGTATGTGGGATGAATTCAGCTCAGAGAGCTGAATTGTAAAAGGTTTAGCTGTTATTTGAGAGGTTGAGTGTAAGTGTAGCTCATTGGCTTCAACGCTTGAATTCGAATCAGTGAACTCCAGCTACACCGACTTCGACACCTGTGTAGCTGAATAATATCATACTCTCTTACACAAGAAGTGTAGTTCGTCATCGTAGCCTTGTGCATATGTACTTCTGAGATTGAGTTGGTCTAAGCTAACTTGCATTACTTGCCGGTTTATAACAACTGTGATATAGGCTTGTTATCCTTTTGTCCATTAATATATAAATGAACAACCTACAGTAATGTTTTGCTGCTGTTAAAGCTGCCTATCCTTTTGAATGGTTGTATGCATGAGATTAAAACACTAGGTAAGTGGACGTTAGCTTAAAGGTTTTATATAAAGGCTCGTTGTGAGCCTGTATAGACTGAGGCAGTTATACATGAATTGCTCTCGGTAACCTTGTGCATATACATGCAGTTGAAAGTTAGCCACATCTATTGTGTGAACCCTAATGTTGTTGTCTGGCTGCTTATACCTCGATTGATGGAGCTGAATTCGAACCCGTGACCCACTAGCTGATTGTCAATGTTTACATTGAAGAACTACAGCTCCACCAATCTAGACTTTGCAGTCAGGGTTTGAGGAAGGTCTAAAATATTCAGATGGGTTAGACTAAACAGTGCAACTGGTGTATATTTGCTATCCGTATGAGCTGTGTACAGAATCATAATTACTTAGTAATGTGTTTAAAATGTAGAAATCATGGGAAATGTAACATCAAGTTGTGGTTACTTCAAAGTAGTATGACAACACTTGATAAATAAAAGGACGAGGCGGGGTAGCAACTACCATGAAGAAAAAATCATGCATCAAACAGCACTTCCAACTTTTTCATCTGTTGATTAGATTCCATATTAGGTCGAATTGCTCGACTTCTGATGAGTCACAAATGGAATGAAACGTGTCTCTGATTCCACTACTAGCGACCAAGTAAACTGCCAGAAACATCTAATTTGTACAATGTAAGAAAAAACATAAGCAGCATAAAATGGCACCATTTTATTTCGCGGACTGTTATCACTTTGCACCGATATCATAGAGGTTTTATTATTAAGATTTCAATTGTTAAACTAGATCGGATGGATCAAACTTTTCTTTGCTTTATTTGTAGCTTAATTTTTATTTTTTCTCCTTTCTAAAAATGCTTGAATAAAGTGCACTGAATATCATTCCTAATAATGGGAGTTATACTGAAATCAACAGTGTTTCGATTTGTGAAGTGTTGTCAGTTGCATCTTCCGCCTCTTTGTCAATTGAATACATCCACCAGTCGGATATTCATCTTGGAGTCAAATGATATCTATCGAAATTTGGCTTTCGAAGCATGTCTGTATCAAGAAGGGGAAAAAAAACTCCACTCTTTTAATGATGATACACCATCATTTTTCACAAATATTCTGCTATGGCGTAGTAGTCCGTGTATTGTAATTGGTCGATTTCAAAATGCTTGGAAAGAGACGAGTACTTCACTGCTTCGTTCTAATGCTTGGAAGTTGGCTAGGCGTCATTCTGGTGGTGGTGCTGTTTATCATGATCTTGGTAATTTGAATATATCATTTATGCAGCCTAGACATTATATGGATAGACGGAAATGTATGGAGTTTCTTCAGTCTGTTCTACAACCGCTGATACCTTCAAATTGTGTGATACATGTTGGTGAGAGGTATGATTTATGGATTTCAGAACGGCGGACCGGTGTAACCGGTTCAGAGGTAAGCAATGTATTGGTTGGTAGGCGGAGGGTTAGGTTTGTTGTTTTAAAGTGGAGACAGTGTTCGCTATTCGTCATTGAATTTGCAATATCTAAGAATGAAAAGTTGGGATTCTGGATGTCAGTTGTCTTTGCCTTTGTCTGACAGTTGTAAGTTCTCAGGTGGAATGTCCACAAAAGTCACTTGATTCAACGTGTTTGTTTGGCTATGAAGCAACTGGTAGCATAAATTAATGCCTCACTCTATCTTAGAATTGCATTTTACATGTGCGATGCTAACAAGGTAATCAGAGTATTACTTTGCCTCGACTACAGCTGGGATGGAGTCATGAATTCCAAAATATGGGCTACAGATGACTGGAAGAACCTGCATTCCATTCTCTAACTTGTAATTTTTTAGGTGATTTGTTTTCTTCTGCACTTATTTGGATAGATAATGTTGAGTATATAATGTACTGAGCATAACTGTTTGTGGTGCGATTTTCAATTTATTTATTGATTAAAATAGTAAACATCTTGATTCATTTGGATACTGTTAAGACCTTAGGAAGCTTAAAGTGTTATGTCAGCCGAAAAGGGGAAAATGTGAATGAATTTTAGGTAAGTGTTATCGGTCGTATTATTTTAAAGGTCATTTGACTTAATTGGCAACATCATTGTATAGCTCACTCGGTTTAAGAGCTTTTGATCGACCTCTGTTTCATCCATTTATGCATCACTTATACTTCGGAAATAACCATTGCTTGTTCAGTGAAATCCATTATTGTGTATTATGTATCTCTTTTTTTATTCATGAAATTGATTGTTTCATCTTCATAAACTATGGTGCGTTGTGGTCAGACAGTTAATTTAGTTGTACATACAGATGAATCAGATCGCCGGAAATAGATATGGATAATAAGCACCAGACTTTTTATTCTGTTGTAAGCGATCAGGTTGAAGGGTGAAATTGCATAACTCATCGTGTGGATGGATTGAGTATACGAAACAGGGCAAGTATACACTTGACTAATCACGTGCAAGGCCAGTGTTAAGACTGAATCAGCAGGTTCACGTGCCTAAGGCAATTACAACCAGACAAAGTTATAACAAAAGTACCACACTGTTGGGAGAGTTCACGGGATTACAGTTGTTAATCCATGCGACACTTCAAGGCCCTCAGAAAGTTATAAAGTAACACAGATCTTTAATATGAATTTTATTTTATCGGAAAGGACACTAATAATTTCCACCACACTCAAATTTCGACTTTGTAAAAATAAGGGACACGTTAACATAATTCACCTAACGTTAAGCGGTCACCAAAGAAAAACTTACGGAAGAACCAAAAGAAAAAAAATGTGCAAACTATGATTGGTTGTAACCCCCTCTATTATTAACAACGTTAGGTGAACGCACTTATTCATGACTATGCTCCTCATTTCTTTCACTTGTTGCAGTCTGTTATGTTATCGTTAAGTTATTGCAGCTAGTTTTCAATGCGGACTGATTCTATCCAATGGCATAATTATCAACTAGATACGAAATAGGAAAGTACTTTTGAAGTAAGCCACCGATGTCTCTATGTCCAGTTATTCTTATATTTGCTGCCGTATGAAAGAACTTGTGAAAACTGTGAAAAGCTCAATCATCTCCAAAAATCAATAGAAAGTGGCGAATACATTCGCATCAAGTTGCTGAATGGTAACGTACTAGCCGCTGAAGCTGATGATCGTGAGCTTGAACTCATGGGAAGGGGGGGGAGGGGTCGCGAATGTGTCTGCATTACCGATGGGTCGCTTACTACTATGAAACAGCTATTGAGTGCTCCCAGGTTTTCAATAGTTCTCCAACGGATATTCACAATACCATAAAATACATTTTTGCGCTTGCATAAGCAATTAGAATGTTCGTTGAAGTTAGTATCATCATCATGTCACTTGTTTGGATAGCGTAATCAGTGTAGTGGAATGCGAATATCCCCAAAAAGAAGTTGAATATTCTGAAAAGTGTAAATCGAATTATACATATCTGACTTTTCTACAGTAGAAAATGAACCACTAGATATTCACAGTACTCCTATAACTGGTGATGTACGCTAACTTAACTTCTTTGGTATCTATTTGCACTATAGGATAAACTGAAGATATCTGGCTCTTCATCGAAACTTGGCGCCAATATGGCATATCATCATTGTACATTACTTTTTGATGCTAATTTAAACAATTTATCTGAAGTATTGAAACCGACTTTTGTAAGTTCGCAATTTTTCTGCTTTGATTAGTTAAAAAAAATTTTGTATAGAATTTCAATGATGATTGGTTTTCAAAAGGAAAATAAGTTGCGGCGAAAGTTAAACAAACAATTCTTGCTTAATGCTTTCCCAGATAGACAACTAAATTTCATTGCTGACGAACGATGGTATTGTTGAGTTCCAGAAGAAAGTTTATTCTAATATTGAACACTTCTAAACATTCGGCAAATCAGTCGATGAAAATGTGAACCTTCATCGACTAAGATGACTTGAACACGTACTACGCATGCCGAGTCACTGCCTACATCGATGTTCAATGCTAGACGAAGTTGCGTTAAGTTGGAAAAGGGCTAAGGGTGGCCAGACTAGAATGTGATACTAGTGCAGGAAATCTCTGACTGTTGGTCTCAGCCGTGTAAAGAGATGTAAACTGTTTAGCTGGGGTCACCGATGCGACACGAATCAGTGATTGAGGACTGTTAGTGAAATGTCTGACTATCGGTTACAATGGTGCATATGTATTATTCACTTTGCACTAACCTTCACCTTTAAATTCATTTTTCTCCTATTCATTTTTATCTACTTCGACATCAGTCTTTTCCGATCCGCTTATTCTATTCATACTACTGTGAACTATGGCAACTTGAAGTAGTGCACTTGGGTGCTAGGTTCTATGTCGATTTTGTCTCTTTTTCTTTCTATCCTAGAGCGGTGGTTTAGGTTCACTAACGATATTTTTCTTGTGTTTACCTGTGATATGTCACTGAGCTGTTGATTAGTTATAGTTGAGCTAAATGTAGACATTCAGTGCTTATACAAGCCTGGTTAGTTTGGTGATCTCAATTAATTGGACGTTATTAAGTATTCAGGCTCTTTAAAAATCGTATTCTACTCAAAGACCTGAGTGGCATACAATGATAATCTGCACTGTAAGATTAAAAAGAAGATGAGTTTTGAAATACATTCAACGGTTGCTTTATTTTCTTATCAGTATGTATTAGAATTCTTAGGGTGATGGATTACTTTTCGGTTGAGAGTGTTGAGTTGAACTCCTTCTAATTGGACTCATCGGTGAATAAACAGATACTGTTCACTATGGATCCTAGGAATTCTCCGTTTGGTTCTTTGAAAAGTCGAAGGTAAACTATAGTGAAAAGTTTTCTCGATGGGATATATATATATACCCGGCTAATGAGTCCCATGAAAGCCGAAACATACATTCCAAGTTCATCTGCTTCCCACCACTAAGCAAATAATGTAATCTGAATAAATTTAGTTCTTGTGAAAAGCAAATCATCTTAATTGATGACGGAAATATTGAGTAGGTTCTACACAAACGGACAGTAGTGTGCTAATCTGTATAAGATGCTGAAAAGCTATGATTTTTACAAATTAATCTGTTTCAACTTTTGTTCTTAATAAGTTATTATTCGTAGAATGTTACTTCTTGCCATCAGCTATTATTTTTTAAATTTGATTTTATAAGATCATTTGTTGACCCGTTAAAACTGTTAGTCGATAAATTTTAACCAATGTGATACGGAAACCGCTTATGATTGGCATACTGTTTGTTAATCATCTGTTCATAACTAATTTATGAGTACCTAGTTTTCGCAACTTATTGGTTTATAAGGCTGTATTAATGCAATAATGAAGATAGGAATAAACCTATCAGCTTATGCATAATTCATTTTCTTGTAATTTGTTTAGTGATAGCTAGAAGTGAAATCCAGATGGCGTGTTTCGTCTTATTTAGGGCTCTTTAACTGGATGTACCGGCATCCCAGGGGAGTAGAGGTGTTCCCACTGAGACTTGGACCCAGTGCCCATCACTTCAAATACCGTAGGGTTAATTACAAGGCTACTAAACACATTTGAGCCACCTGTTGTACACAGGGATATTTTTTCTTATGGAATGATGATTGCGATTTCCGTTTAATTGTTAATGGTATGTGAGCAGAAGTGATCGATCTCTCTTGGCATATCGGGTTCTTAAACAGACACTTCAATATCGCCTAAAGTTTCGTTTTCAACAAAGACCTATGAATTTCGTTTACTATTAATGACCATCGCGAAATTACAGCAATAAATATGTGTAGTTCAGTTGTGCCAATGAGGTGTCAGTGGTGATTTTACCTGCTTTGTATGATGTAACACATAAATAGCTTAATCACAACTCGAATGGATAGATTTACATCTCAATTTTCAACTGAGATTCAGACCTACCGCATCATGTTTCAAATCTCTTGGCGTTATTTGAAGTTGATGTTTTAGTACTTTACAGTTATTTATGACACAGGTCTGTAGCTGTACACATATAGAGCATCTTAGGTGATTCATTTACTCGTTATCAAACAAGTTATGCGGTGATAATTATTTGATGTTCTCCGAGCTTTCACGTTTGTTCTTTGACATTTCATCAATATTCACTTGATAAAGGGGTGGACCATTTCCAAGCTGGATAAACGTTAATGAAGGAAATTTATCGACCTTGAGCGTTGTTGACCTGTGACTAGGAGTGAATTTTCCCGTTTTCTTATCACGGGTTGACCCTTATAACTGTTGTTATCATTTGACCTATACGGGTGACCTTAATGTCTGATTATTCATCTATCTGACTGATCTCTAGTTGGGTTTATCTCTTCTCAGCAGTTCATAGATTGGGTCAAAGTTCATATGTTTATTAATTGCCATTTGATGGGAGTATCATACTTCCCAGAATTTCCTTTCAATTTTTGAGTTTGCTTGTTAGAGTATTCCCACGTTGTCCCCATCGAAGTACTGCTTTTGTTGACAGTTCTTGCAACTAATAAGGATTATATAAAGGATGTCTGGAAGTTATGTACTTATCTTGACTTGACGGTGGATATTAGATTGTGTTCGAAATGTGGTCCACCAAATGATACTGTTCATTCATTATGTTGTACATCTAAAAATAAATCAACTAAAATTGAAATACGTTCTACCACAGTACTGAAGTACCGCTCCTATATTATTAATGAAACATATGGTCTTCATACATGGAAACTAGTCAACAAATTCAAACGACTTTCAAAGACAGAAGCCAGATTCATATACTATCGTATATTCGATATTCAATGTCTCAAAAACCAAGTCACTCCAAATATCTACGTCTACGTACTCCGAGTCCAACTGACAAGGTGTATGCACCAGTACGACCTCTCAGTAAACTCTTTCTAAAAGAAAAATTCATAGAATAGTCAAGAAGTTGCGCACCATCCGTAGCTATATTAAAGAACCAAAGTGTAAACTGATGGAAACAGTTGGTGGAAAAGACTATAAACTTCCGATCGACATCTTCAACAAAGCGAGATGAGCTGCCTTTAGAAAATCCACGAATGCTCTAATAAAGAAGTCCAACAAGCTAACAGAAGAAAAGTATCCAGTAGAGAATAATGAGATTCCCGGCAGCACATCGCCAGTCAGCGATAAAACAAAGTAGGTTGTCAGTCTCTATACTGAAGTTTTAAACTCAACGGAAGTGAAGGTGCTTGAGAAAGGACTTAACTTCACTGTAGTAGTTAATGAGCTGAGCTGAAATAGCATTAAGTTCAGTAGATAGGACAGTGGCAGGTCAGGTTTGAGCACAATGAGCTCTAGTACGTAAGCGATAGAAGAAAAAGAAACAGAATCTACCAAAAGCAGATAGGGAAGCTTGGAAGGACTTTTGGAATGACAACAGTATAATAATTGCTAAATCGGACAAAAGCAACTCAACAGTAGTGTTAAACAATCCAAGGAAAATATTGAAACGACCGTAAGAAGAAATTAAGAAACCAGTGGACACTATTATGAATAAGTTTAAAAAAAACCATGGGGGATCTAATACGCTGAATGGAGCTTTTTCTAGGTGAGTCGAAATGGTTTAATTTAATGCCAGAAACTAATCATCCCAGTAGGATTCATGATACTATTAAAATTCATAAGAAAGGTTATCCTATTAGATCCATAGTCGAGTTGGGAGACACTCCTATTTATGACTTATCTAAATATTTAGCAGTGGTACTAGGTCCATTTAGAAACCGTTCTAAATCGAGACCTACTAACTCAGTTTGAAGCATAGATTAGATGATATGTATTTGGATGATGATGAAAAAATAGTTAATTTTGATGTACTTAGTTTGTATACTAATATACCGATTGGGATGGCACTTGAAGTAGTTAGATATAAGCTAAATAGTGACCATAAGCTTACACTACAAACTAAGGTATCAGTAGAATACATCATGTTAGGAGTACAGCTATGCTAACATCCATAATCTTTAAGTTTTAGAATAAAATATACAAGCAAACAAAAGGAGTTGCCATGGGATCACCAATATCCCCTATTGTGGCTGACATATTTACGAACAGTTGGGAACGGATGGTTGTGAAAACAATTAGTCCGGCTCCAAAAGTACGGTTTCGATATTTAGACGACACGTTTACATCATTGAGGTTGGAGCATATACATAGTTTCTTTACACATAAATACAGTAGTCAACGCAATCTAATGCACCTATGAATTAGAAAATAGTGAAGGGGGAATTAACGATGTTGGATTGCAAAAATAACGAAAACAAGATGGGAGTTGAGACACTAGTGTCTACAAGAAACCTTCACACTGGAATTGTTGCTTAAACTTCCAATCGTCTCACCCTATGTCGGTTCTAAAAAGGGGCTGGGTAAAATGTCAAAGTAACAGGGCCGGAAAAATTACTAGTAAAACAGAAGATCTAAGACAAGAAACCAGATACATTAAAAACCACTTACTCATTTGCAATCACCCTCCCAAATTAATTGATAAGTTCTTTTGGAATCATAAGAAGAATATAACTAATAGTTGTAACAAAGGTATTAATAGTAGCAATAATAATATTCATAATAGTTGTGGCAATACTATGAAGAGAGGATTCGAAACCTCTACAGTATTACTATACAAGGAATGCACCTCAGAAACACTACGTACAATTCTCAATAAGTTTGGGATTAGAGTGACA